CTATTTATAAAGCTCAAAATAAAGATCTAATCCTATTCTACTAAGGCTAATCTACTTAAACTAGGAAAGAAATAAAACATAAGATATCCTACCATACTAGGAATTAAGGAAAGAAAAGGATTCTAATCTATTGAATCCGCTTCGCGTCGCCTGACCCTAGCCGCCATTGTGCGCGTGCCGGACTCCCGCGCTCACGTCATCCGCACCGCCTATTCCTTGCGCGGTTAGGTAGGCTCGCGCGTGAATTCCCTCGGTCGTACTCGCGCTATCGCGTCCTTGGTTGAAATTCTCGCGTGCGTCACCGCTCGCGCGCGCATGCCCGCTAACGAGCTGGGCCTCGGCAGCCCGGCGGCTTAACCTCCGCCGTGCATGATAAGCGCGGCTCACCGCATTCTTCAGCCTTCTTGCCGTGTTCTCATCATTCCCGTCCCCTTCAAGTGCTTCCTTGTCCTCAAGGATGATATCGGGAAATCTTTCGCGCATCTCGTCCAAACTTTCCCAAGTTGCCTCTTCACTCGGCAAATCCTCCCATTCGACGAGTACTTCCCAAAAGTATTTTCCGGCCCTTTTGATTTGCCGGTACTCGACCACGTGGCCTGGCCGGACTACAACTTGTCTATCCGGTGCGACCGCGGGTAGCCTATCCTTCGCCGAATGCGCCTCGCCAAGGCTACGCTTGAGCTGCGAAACATGTATGACCGGATGTATATGAGAATCGTCCGACAACTCAAGTCGATAAGCAACCTTCCTGATCTTGGCCAAAATTTTATAAGGCCCATAGTAACGAACCCCAAGTTTGGTCGCGGCCCTTTGTGCGGTCGTCTATTCCGAAATGGCCTTAGTTTTAAGAACACCAAGTCCCCGGGCTCGAACTTCTCGTCGCGCCTCTTTCCATCGTGGTACGCCTTCATTCGATTGATCGAGCCCTCAAGTGTTTCCTTAAGTTCGCGTAACATCAAGTCGCGCTCGACCAACTCCCGATCCACCTCATCGTTCACCGCACTGCCCATCGAGTAGCTCACAATTGTCGGAGGTTTGCGCCCGTACACAAGCTCGAACGGCGTTGCCTTGGTCGAGCTATGGTAAGTGGTGTTATACCAATACTCGGCCCAAGGCAAGTAACTCTCCAACCTTTTTGGAAATTGATGCACGTAACACCGAAGATATTACTCGAGCGTGCGGTTGGTCACCTTCGTTTGCCCGTCGGTTTGCGGATGATAGGCCGAGCTCATGGACTCTCCAACCTTTTTGGAAATTGATGCACGTAACACCTAAGATATTGCTCGAGCGTGCGGTTGGTCACCTCCGTTTGCCCGTCGGTTTGTGGATGATAGGCCGAGCTCATGGAAAGCTCGGTCCCTTGCAACTTGAAAAGTTCCGTCCAAAAGCTACTTATAAAAATTCGATCACGATCGGACACAATGGAGCGCGGTACTCCATGTAGCTTCAT